TCCTCTCCCCAGCCCGGTGCCCACCATGGCCGAGTCCAGCATGCGCTGCTCGAAGTCGGCGCGGGCAGCGTTGTATTTGTCCACCGCCCTCCGCAGAGCCTCGCCCGCCTTCCGCGACTTCAGCTCCGCCTGTGCCACCGGCCAGGGCACGGCGACAGCCAGGGGACAGCCAGGGGACAGGGGACAGCCGGGAGAATGGCAGGGGAATGACAGAGATCGTCAGGAACGGGATAGGGGACAGGGGACGGACAGGGGAGAGAGGAGAGCCAGGGGAATGACAGGGATCGTCAGGGATGGGACAGAGGACAGCCAGGGGACATCCGTGAGGAAGACAGGGACCATCAGAGAGGGGACAGGAATCATCCAGGGGGAAAAGGAACCATCCGGGATTTTGATGGGGATTGTTGGGGAGGGAACAGGAATCACCCAGGGGACAGCTGGAAGAATGACAGGGACCATCAGGGAAGGGACAGGGACCATCCAGAGGGGACAGGGACCATCCACGAGAATGACAGGAACCACTGAGAAGAGGACAGGAACCATCCAGGGGGAAAAGGAACAATGACAGAGAATGACGGAGACCACCAGGGAGGGGACAGGAACCACGCAGGGGGGACAGGGATCACCGTGGGACAACAGAACCATTGAGGGAGGGCCAAGAATCACCAGGGAAGGGACGAGGGTCACTGAGGGCGGTGACAGGGACCACTGAGGGGGGTGACAGGGACCACAGCGACCAGGAACAAGAGGGCACAGGGACCACTGAGGGACACTCAGGGACCATCAAGGAAAGGACAGGAACCAGGGACCACCCAGGGGGGCACAGGGGACCACCCAGGGGGTGGGGACAGGGACACTGAGGGGTGCCACCTTGTCGATCTCCTTCTGGCTGGTGCCCTCCTTGCGCAGCCGCTCGTACTCCTGGCACTTGCTGTGGTAGCTCTCCTTGGACTTGGGCAGCAGCTGGGCCACGCCATGGAGCAGCTGCACGGCCTCCAGCGTCCCTGCCACCTCCTCCTTGGACTGCCGGGGCACGGCAGAGTGGGCTGGGGTGGCAGGGGACAGCGGGGAGGTGACAGCACACAAGGACAAGGAGGGGACAGCGGTACCTTCTTGTGCACCCGGCCTTGCTCCTCGCCGTAGCGCGAGATCTCCTTGATGAGGTCGTGCAGCTTCTTCATCAGCTCCAGGTGGCACAGGGCCAGCTTGTCCGAGGAGATGCGGAAAACCTCCCAGAGAGGCGCGAAAGTCCTGCTCGAGGGCCACCAGGAGGGTCACCAGGGTCCCCCAAAGCCACCCCGAGGTGTCCCCGTCACCCCCCTCCCCTCCGTACCCCAGCTGGGTCCCGTTCGTGGCCATCTTCGACAGCTTCACCATGGCCTTGGCGTAGTTCTCCTCGATGGCAGCCCTGGGGATGGCGGGGAGGGGGATTTGGGATGGAGGCGGGATTTTGGGGACCCCCACCCCGCCACATCCCTGTCCCAGGTTGTCCCCACCCCCCGGGTACCTCTCCCGGACGAAGTCAGCGAGCTCCTTGGTGGAGATCTGCCCGTGCTTCATGTTGTGGTAGAGGACGTCGAAGCCGTGGTTCTTCTCGCCCTGCCAGGGGACCCCTCCCCTCCCTCAGACCCCAAATCCCGAGGGACCCGCACCCCCTTTTCCCTGGGACCACCAGGAGCAGCGGGATCAGCGTCTGCAGTGGCCCAAAGCCCCCCAAATTGGGGTGCTGAGGATTCCCCCCCCCCACCAGAACCCAGAACCAAGCCCAGGTGCTCCCCAGGAAGGGCTGGGCTGAACCCCAAACTCCCCCGGGGTTATTTTGGGTGCTGAA